GACAAAGTGACAATAGCTCACTCCCAGCTGGGTCTTTTTCTCTCTGTTGGGCTGGAAGAAGTGTCAGCACAGTTGGGGCTTCCCCTGCCACCAGTTCAGCACCTGCATCACCTGCCCACCCTGCTGCCACTGTCCCCACACCCCAGTCACAGCAGCTCCACAGCACCCAAGTCTTGCCAACACATGGACAACACTCAACCCCCAACTGCAAAGAAAAAAGGAGCAGGCTGATGTTGCACTCCACAGCAGAGCAAACCAAGGGGTTCACAGTGACCAACAGAGATCCTTCTCTGAGCTCAGCACCACTGAAGCAAGAATGGGAATGGTTTGGAGTGTAGTAATATTGATAGTGCACGAGGGAAGTCTTGAAGTAGGGAAGGGATTGCAAGAAGCCACATTCATGTTTCCAAACAGTTGCAAGAACCCCAACCCAGTGTTTGCAAACAGTAAGGAGGGTGTGTAAAGCTGGAGGGGAAGCTGAGCAGCCAGACAAGAAACTTGAAGTGATCTTTCACTCTCCTTATGCCATTCACCTTCTCCTCAAGGCAGACCTCCCCTATCTACACTAATATCCAGAAGGTGCAAGGTCAGAAGGCAGGATTCCAACAAGCACCTGTACCTGAGCTCTGCTCCAGAGGGGGTGATTTTGGAAGGCAAAGCAGCAGAAGACACCACCCTGTGACACCCCCAGCCCTTTCTGCTGCTCTTTCCCAGCAGCAGCTCTGCAGCACTCCCACAATCCATGCTCTTGGTTGAAGTGCTTCCCATTTCCCACTGCCAGTCCCCTACACTCCAGCTGCCGACTGGGATAACACACCAGAGCTGCGAGGACAAACCTAAACGCGCCAGCAGCCACAAGAGCAGCGTTGGGAAGACAGAAGAAGAGTTTACAGCCCCTCCAGCCGCCTCCTGCAGCCGCCCCCTCCCCTTTTCAGAGCCTCCCCCCCTCCGCCCGGCTCTTCCCCGGCGCGACCGCGGCGCCACCTCCCGGCACAGCCCCAGAAACACCCAAATCCTGCTGGAAACGGGAAACCTCTCCCGGGAGACGCAGAGAACCCGGGTTGGAGGGGGGAGAGGGGCAGTTTTCCCGTAGTTTTTCTTTCCTAGTCCATGTGTATCCAGCTAGGTTTCTGCCCGGCGCTTCCTTTCCCCCACAAACAGCCCCACAGAAAGGCCAGATTTTATTGTGAATGTTTATTATGAACCAAGAACTTCACAATGCAGTCGTTCCTACTCCTCAGCACATGCTTGAAGGTTTCTGTGACCTTGAAATTGTAGGGGGAGAAGAGTGATGACTACACACAAACCCAAGATTTAAAAATAAAATCCAATCAGGAGATGTTTGAAGGCGACTGCTGAGACATCTTCTGATTCAAGCTGGAAAAACTCCCAGTACCACCTGTAACAATCTTAGAGGAATCTGTGAAATTGCAGCATGAAAGTGAAGGGCCAGAGGTGTTCTGGGCCTGTTCTAGTTTTATTGTGTTAAGTAGAGCATTGCTTCAGGGCCTGAGGCTATTTCTGCATGGTGAAGGATGGTTTACTCCATCTAAGGACTTTGGTAACAAGATCAGATGCTGTATACTGTTATAAATGCTTTAAAAAAATAAAACCCAAAACAGTAAAACCTACACAAAAGGGAGTAAGTCTTCTGCTACCAAAGGCAAGGAGCAGGGAGATGTATCAAAACTGTGTAACCTACAGGGGAGAGGGTTCAGCCAGATACAACTCCAAGCTCCCAAATGGCACCCAAAACAACTGGCCAGTCTTACTCCACACCCAGAAAACAAACTGCAATTGTTTTGGTTTTGGGTTTTTAAACACAACCAATCCTCAGAAAAAAATGCAGCACTTCTAGGGTTGAGCTGAAGTTTTTGTCTCCAATTGTGGCACTTACAAGACACCCCCCACCTTCAACTGCTTGGGTGTAGCTTAAGGCCAACTTCTGGTCAGGGAGAGGAGGGGACACCCCCCTTCCTTCCCAGCACCCCCCCACACCAACAGAATCCAACAGATCCAACTGATGCTTCTCTTTTTGCAAGAGTTGATGAAGCATGTACATGAGGCAAATTAAAAAATAGTTATAAATAAGATTTGGTGAAACCGCAGAATAAAATTAAGGAAAAAAAAAATCAAAGATTTATAAATAGATTTTAAAATCCAGCCTTGTCCAAATTCCAGCCCCACACGCCCCCCTCCCCATCTCCTCCTTCCCTTCCTCACCTCAGTAAGAGCTGCTCTAAGAGCTCTTTAGTCTAGAGCTGTTTGGTTTGGGGAGTTCCTACCTCCTGCAGAGAATTGGTCACATCTGTTGATGCTCTAAGCTCAGGGGTTAACACATTGCTGCTCACTAAGGAGAAGCAGAGGGAGAACAAATCCAAAAAGGGACAAGAAAACAGATTTGAAAACATTCTTAAGATACATGAGGTAATATTTCTTTGGGCTCTTCCCAAAAAGCCTAAGCCAGGAGGTGCAGTTTTCACCCTGCCATCACCTCTGCCTGGTGCCCCCCTGCCCAGGCACCCCTGCCCACTATGGAAGGCACAGGAACTTTGCCTCCAGTGAGAATTTTGGATAAAATGAAGCAAGGGCTGGGACAAAACCCAAGCAGTGAGTTTAAAAAAAGTCATTTCAGGCTTTTGAGCTACTCTAGGAGCTTTAGTCCTGCAGTCCCATGGACTAACAGCAGTGTTTCAATCATCATCTGAAGGGTGATGGACTTCTACCTAACAGCAGAAAGCTTCGAGTCTCAGAGGAATCAGATGAGTTTGGGGTGGTTTTTTTGGCTCTAGGTAGTGGTTTTTTGGAAGAGTTTATGCAAATCAAGTAAGCCAGCAGAACTAATTTCAAGGATTCACTTCAGCAAAGTGAAACTTCCAATGAATCCAGCTGACTCTGAAGAAGCTGGTTGGTTGTTCAGACTCATTTGGGGTGTTCCCTTCACGAGGGCTACTGTCACTCCACTTGCCCAAGCCTGAGCCATCCAGAGCAGCTCTTCTGAACACACAACCCACTCACCACTGGTGTGTGCAGCTTTATTCATCTTTTTTTTCCTCCTCCAACAGCGGCACCTTGTGATGAAAACTCAAACTTACAGCTTTCCAATGGAAACCTCCCAAAAGGGCAATCTCTGGAGTGAGCCAATCCCAAACAATCCTGGGTATGGGCACCCCACCAACACAGAGTCAAGTGATTTTGATTCTTGGAGGCTGACAACTGAACTTCTTGTGACTCCAATCAAGCTTTCCAGAAGGTTGGGACAATTTAGGGAGCATGTTTAACACGTAGGGTGTTGTTTTCCCACTCATCTCATCACTACTGACTAGAGAGGCAAAGATGTTGTTCTGTTTGAGAACCCAGCCACCTTCTGCAGCATCAATGCTCACCCAAACCAAGCCCTCATGGAATCTCTACTGGAATCATTTCAAGCCCTGCACAGGCTCCTCCCTAATGGAAAATAAGATTTGATATGCATGAATGGTGACATGGAAAAATCATCCAATGAAGTAAAAAGCTGTATTTGCTGAAGATTTTCAAACCTCAAATAACAGATGAACTGCTGTAAAAAAAAAATCAAAGCACTAGAAATGTCAGCACTCCTCAATAATGCTTTGACTTTGAGCCACTACTAGAGAGGACAAGAGGATCCACGAGCAGAACTTCTTTGTTTTCTGACTAACCCAAACTACTCCACTTCCCAAACACAATCCATGAGCCAACCAACGTTTCCACTTGCCAAAACAATTATTCCCCCCCCCCTTTTCCCATCCCCCCCCAAGAGTCAGACACCCAAAGAGTCCCACTCGTTCTGCAACTACCTCTAATTTGGTCTTGGGATTTCTTTTATTATCCTCATTCTTGAGCTATGCTTCTCAGGACATACTTCACTGTGTAGGCAAAGGCTGCAAACCCAACTATGACAAACAAGTTCGCCAAAGCTCCTCCTAGAAGTCCATGGTTCCTGTTGGCCTGCTGGAGACCCGGGTGGTTGGCAGGGGCCAGGGGGACGTGCCCGTTGAGGAGGGGTATCCCATTCTGCCCAAAGTGTGCCTCCCCATCGGGGACCACGTCTGGCAAAGGGAGGGAGGGAGGTCTGTTACTCAGCTCTTCTTGTGCTTTCTGTTTTTGTTTGATCTCCTAGAGGAAGGGAAAAAAAAAAAAAGAGGATTGGAGAGTGGAAGTGAAAGCGGTGATGCTGTCAGGGGTTTTGGGGGAGGTTTTAGAAGCCAAACTTTGCATTTATAGGTCTAGGTGAAGACCTAGAGGAACCCAGGGGATGGGGTGGGAACTCCCTTACCTCCACCACTTCAGGGAAGAGCTCACAGAAGACTTTATCTTTCAAATTAAATGCTAAGCTTTGTGCAGCGAGCTGCCTTTTCTGTGGAGGAAACAAACAGTATCAGCAGCTGCCTATAAACAAGTTTAATGTACTTTAATTCAGCATCTTATCAACATTATCAACGATATCTTATCAATATCTCAAGGGTGGGGGCAAGAGGCTGGGACCAGGCTCTTGTCAGTGGTGCCCAGTGACAGGAAAAGGGGCAAGGGGCACCAACTGGAACCCAGGAGGAGAAACTTCTTTGGTGTGAGGGTGCAGAGCCTGGAGCAGCTGCCCAGAGAGGCTGTGGCTTCTCTTGAGAGATTCCAAACCCTCCTAAATGACTCTCCTGGAACATAAGGGTTGAACAAAATGGTCCCCAGAGGTCCCCTCCAGCCCCCACCATGCTGGCATTCTGTGGTTTATTTCCCACAAGAATGGTGCACACCATGAGCCTAGTTTCTAATGTTTAAAAACTTCACACTTTTGAATATTCTTCACAACAGACATTTCTAGACAAACTATGTTCTCAGCCCTTCATCTGACAGGGTTAGTGTTCTGCCCTGGTGTGCCAGCCTGGCAGACACTTCCAAGAAGGAAGAAAGCAGAAAAACTCCTGACCACAGTTTACTAAGAGGGATTTTAAGTTCTCCAAGAACTCCCCTCCCCATCCCCACGCTACCTAAAATTCACCTGATTCATCTGCTCATCACGTGGAGTAGACAACAACATACTTTGAGACACCAAAACAACAGCTGGTGCTGCTCTTTTAACTTGGGGGTCCCATCCAGCAACCCCCCAAGGTGACAAGAGGCCCATCCCAGGGCCTGGAGCTCACCGTGAACTCGGATGTCTCTATGCTGCCCAGTGTGGGGCCCTTCTCCACCATGAAGCTGAGGAGACCCGTGAGGATCGTGGAGACCGACCACGCCGGGTTCCACGTGTCTGGGTGGAAGTCAGTGATGGAAAGACACAACCTTCAGGAGGGACAAGAGAGCCAGCATGGTTTCATTTTGCCATTAAAACCTCTTCCACGTTGTACATATGGCTAAAAGGGTGTTAATGGCTGAAGTGTGAGGGGAAAATCCTTACCTTGTGTTACATTTAAACCTTCCGTTAGGTGTAATCATATAAATACTAGGAGGTTTAAAGGGAAATTCTCTGGGGAATATTAGCTTCCCATGGTAATAGCCACCTGCATTGCATAAAGAGATTAATTACTTATTTGGCATGAAGATCAACTCCTAAGCTGCTACTCAAAATGGGCCAAACAAAACCCTTGACTTGTCTCCTTCTCCCCGCCACACTGAAGGGATCGAGCTGATCACTGAGTCTCCAAAACCCAGGAAACACAACCCAAACCCACAGCAGATCCCTCTGGAGCAGTCCTCCCTCCTGTGTATCCCCAACAGGACTCTCTCTTGTCAGGTCTGTAAAGGAAAACCAGCCACAGTGCAGTGCACACAACACAAAAGGGTTGGTTTTCCCAAAACACAGCCAGCTGCAAGCACCGCCCTGTGAGGAATCCAGTTCTGGGTGTTTTCCCAGAGGAGATGGTGGAATATGTGAGTCCAACAAGCTCACAAGGCTTTTAACTTCCTCATTTTTCAGTCCCTCACTTTCTCCATGGGAATTCACACAGAGGAGCTATGTCTTGGTTCACTGAGAACATTTATGGGGTGAGAAAATGGGATTTTTGTGACATTCTCACTGTCACACACTACAGAGAGGGAGTTATCTGCTCCGTGGTTTTTAGCAACCACAGAACAGGATGTTCTGTGTTCAGTTAAACCAAAACATGGGTCTGTTAGGCCCCTTCAGAACAGAGGGATCCCCACCAGGCAGTGGCACCTCTACCTGTGTTCAACAAACTCTCACAGAAGTCATGGTCAGCTCTGAGGCTGCCCAAGGGGGTTTTTTAGGGCTATTTTTCCTGGAGCTCTGCTCTGCCTGCCCAGACAGGTCCACCACTGCTCCAGCCCACCCACACCAGAAGGACTCACACACTTCTGCCTCCTGCTTTTACCTTCATAGGGGGTCAGTTCAGGTCCTCTGACAACGTAGTGCCTGAGACAAAGAGGGGAATGGAAACAGTGTGAAAATCACCCCACCATCAGTCACTCATATCTCTTGCAAAATGAAAAGCAAAAGTTTCACAGCCCACCTCCCAACCCCTGAGGTTCTCCCACAACCTGGGGGAGTCAGGGAGCCAGACTTGATGGCCTGGAGTCTGTTTCTCTCCAGGAACAGCTCAGGCTGCAGCTCTTACCATTCCAGGATGTTGGATGGGAGGGGCTCTGCACAGATATAAGGCACTGGGTCTTTCTTAATTCTTAGGTAGTCTTGTTTCAGCCTCTGTGTTGCTGTGGTTGGGGCTCTCTTGTTGCTGTTGTTGCTCATCTGGTATTCCAAAAACACAAAGACACACAAAAATCATCTCCAGACCATCTGAAGAGGCAGCTGTGTTTAGAGAAAGGAACTTCTGAGCCAGGTTATTCTCTGCCAGGGAAACAAAGACCTCCTCCAAAAGGAGAGGAGTTGTGAAGGGAGGAAATTGCAGCCTGCTTACAAGACAAAGAAAGCATCAGCCTCCAGGGCACGTGCCAATTAACAGGGGCTATTTAACTCACTTTCCCCCCAGGAACTTAACAAGTTCATTCATTTTGGACACGGATATTCAAGCAAGAACAAAAAGGGGAGATTTTACAAGCAGCTTGTGTGAAAAGGCAACACCTGCAATAGGATAGCAGCATCTGACATGAAAAGTCAGTTAAATGCTTATGGCCTTTTTAATCCTTTAAACAGCCGAGTACAATTAAAGAAACAACACTTAAACCATGAGTAATAATTGTTAATGGTCAAATATCCCAACCCTCCCCAAAACAAACGTCTTTAACCTGATGTTTGTCAGAATTACTGTAAATCACTGTTTGAAACAGGTTATTTTTTCTTGAATTCATACATTTTGAAGTCTCTTAAACTGCTAAAATGAAGAATTTTTCTCTAAAGGAACCAGTTTCGACTTCAAACCATACATTAAAAAGGTGTGGTTTAACATAACGCAATCGTGTGCTCTGAACTCTTACAACAGGCTGCAAAAATACGCTGAAATATTTCCCAGCGCCTCGTTATTGAGATTTAAACAGCTCTCAAGGCCTTATCTGACAGAACGTTTGCACCTTAAAGGGAGAAAATACACGGCAACGCTTCCAGAAGCTACACCCGCAAATCTTTTTCCCCTCTGGACAAGAGTACTCGGTAGAAACAAGCAGGGAGCCGCCTGGGCAGCGCCGGCAGCAGCAGCACCCAGGCCCCGGAGGGCTGTAGGGTTCCCCTGCCGCGGGGAGC